ACAGGCTCATGAACAAGGAGGCTGAAGTACAGAACTCTGCGTTAATTTTGCCTCAAATAGACCCAAGATAATTCAAGGAAAATAAAAATACTCCCTTTTAAGTTTCTAAACTTTGCCTAATAGCAACCGTACCAAAATCAAGAATTATACCAACCTCCTAACGGGGCAAAAATCATTGATAATATTACACTAAAAAGAGCCGTGAAATGGTGTGTGTAAGTAGAACACTGTCATGAGTGCTATGCCAAATCAGTGAGTCTTGACATTAATGAAACGTAAGGTAACATGCCCACCACTTGACTGTCAGTTTGCCATACTGTGCTGGCTTGTGTGTGGCTGTGGTGCTGAAAGCTATGTCACGGGTATTTCAAATACAAGCAGGGTCACCCAAAGTGAATAGGTTTCAGCATAGCTTCCAGACTAAAAACAGACTATGCACTTCAGAAGAATTATCCACTGATAATTCTTATATTTAAGAAATCTTATGGATACCATGGCAGAAAATCATCCCAATAACAGTTGCTTAAATACAATGAAAGGGAACTGCCAGGGGTTCAGGCTAGATTCATAAGAAGACATGGGACAAACGATATCATTGCTGACATCAGATGGATCTTGGCTGAAAGCAAAGAATACCAGAATGATGTTTATTTGTGTTTCATTGACTATACTTGGCAGTCAACAATATGGATCATAACAAACTAAGGATAGTCTTGAGAAGAAAAGACAATCCAGAATACCTAATTGTATTTTTGCAGAACCTGTACATGGATCAGGAGGCAGTTGTGCAAACAGAACAAGGGAGTACTATATGGTATAAAATCAGGAAAGGTGTGCATCAGGGTTGTATCCTCTCACCATACCTATTCAATCTGTATACTTAACAAATCATCAGAAAAGCTGGATTATACAAAGAAGAATGCTGTATGGACTTGGAGGAAGGCTTATTAACAACCTGTGGTATGCAGGTAACACAATCCTCCTGGCTGAAAGTGAGAAGGACCTGAAGCACTACTGAAGATGAAGGACTGCGTTCTTCAGTGTGGATCACAATTCCATGTAACGAAAACCCAAATCCTCACCACTGAACCAATAGGTCACATCATGACCAATGGAGAGAAGATTGAAGTTGTCAAGATTTCATCTTGCTTGGATCCACAACCAATGCTCACAGCGGCAGCAGTCAAGAGATCAAATGAAGCACTACACTGTAATCTGCTGGACAAGACTTCGTGAAAGTTTTAACACAGAGAAATGTCACTCTGAGGACTAACGTGCATCTAACCTAAGCCATGGTGTTTTCAGTTGCCTCATCTGCATGTGAAAGTTGGACACTGAGTAAGGAAGAGCAAGAGATATAGATGCATTTGAACTATGGTTTTGGTGAAGAATATTGAAAAAACAAACAGATCTGTCTTTAGAAGTCCATCCAGAAATGAATGCACCTTAGAGGCAAGGATGGCGAGACTCCATTTCCGGTAACTTGGACTTCTTGTCAGGAGAGGTCAGTCCCTGGAGAAGGACATCATGCCTAGTAAAGTGGAGGGGCAACAAAAAAGAGGAAGGCCCTAGACAAGACGGATTGACACGATGGCTGCAACACAGGGCTCAAACATAAGAACAATTGTGAGGAGGGTTCGGTTGTACATTAGGTCACCAGAAGAAGAAACTGACTCAGTGCCACCTCCCAACGACAACAAGAGGGTGGCATTCAAATTTAACATCTGTAAATCATGTCTACATATTTATATGTAAATTGATGACAAAGTGAAAATCAGTTGAATCAACACAATTGCCAAGCAATTGACAAGATATTTATAGCTGTTCTTGGGGAGGTAACTAATGATTATATTTAAAGAGGGGAACAGATATGCATGGAATTTATCTGCATGCTAAAGAACAATGGAATGTTGATCCTAATATTATCTAGCTCTTTAAATTATGCAAGGCTTAAATAAAAACAAAAGCCCCTCTCTGTTCTCAACTTCTATTAGATAGCAGGTGACTGGTGTTCTGCCTGTCCCTGTCACCTTAAACAAGCAGGCCCAGGCAGCTTGTCATCTCTTTAAGCAGGTGAGCGGGCAAAGGTGTGCATATCCCGCTGAAGGAAATTTAATACTACATGTGGCCAGCAGGCTTGACACTGCTGGAGAAATACTGGCAAGTTAAATTTAGACCTGCTGGAGTAAAAGCTATCAACTGTCCCAAACTATCATCTTTAAAAGAGTGTAGGTACTTTTAAAGACCATCTTTCTTTTGTTCAGGCATAATAAATGGTGAATCTTTTAACTATCACCAAGGCTTTGATATAAATCTTAAAGTTAACATTTAAAAGAGTTATTTGCTTCAATTTGGAGATCAGAATACATCTTTTGGGGGAAGGTTTACTGCCTTATAAAGAAATGGTATGTTTGGTTTTGCTAAATTAAAATATGCAAGCACTGTACTTTAGGCAGTAATTGCTTAATACATGGTAGTTATCATGAGTAAGGAACCTTCTTGGCGTAGTGGGTTATGCATTAGGCCACTAACTACAAAGTCAGCAGTTCGAATCCACTAGCCTCAGAAACCCCAATGAGTACGTCCTATAGGGTAACCATGAATCAGAATCAACTTGATGGCAGTGGGATCATCATAGTTAGTAACATTAAGTGTGCAGTTTTTAAAATATACAGTAGAGGACTGCTACCTTTTCCTCGGGAAAAAGATATGAAAACAGGATAAACAACCCAATTGTTGAAGTAAGCTCAACTATTTAGGCCAGTGGTTCTCAACCTGTGTGTCGCATCCCCTTTGGGTGTTGAACAACCCTTTCCGATGGTCTTAAATGCGAGACACCGCTCCTCTCTATCCGTCTCCAGACAGCTCCGCCCACATGCGGATACACCCACATACAGGGTCACCACAACAGGAAGAACTGTGTTAAAGGGTCGCAGCATTGGGAAGGTTGAGAACCACTGATTTGGGCCATTAACTTGACATTCCAAAATCATCAAGCATTTCTGAAATTTTGTTTATTTCATTTTGTTCCATTTTATCTTTCATGGAAATAAAAACAGCAAAACATTATTAAATATTTTTACAAATATCTAAGCCTTCAAAAGTAATACTAGTTTTGATGGACAGAATTTAAGTGTTTCCTTACTTACATAGCTTAATTTATAAGGAAAGTCCCTTCTTCCTATTTAAAATTTTTAAAATATAGCAAAAGTATAAAACTTCATAAAAATCTAAGATTATCAAATTAGCATATAGTCAGTTTCCTATTATGTCTTGAATGATTCATGAAAGAAATGTTTTCTTCATATTGAGTTTGATTACTTAAATCAGGATTTTCTATGGTGCATAATATTTTTTTAATGAGACCAACAAGTAGATGGTATCAAAAGATATAGCACCTAAGGTCTTAAAGACTTGAAGGTAAACACGGAGCCATGTAGCTCAGAAGTAACAAAGACAACATGGAGAAACACACCAGCCTGTGTGATCACAAGGTGCGAAAGGGATCAGTTGTCAGGCATCAAAGAACAAAAAAAATCATATCATGGTGTGCTCACCTCCCTGATACAATTGAAGACAAATGGGTGCATAAGCAAAAGTAGTGAAGAAAGCTGATGGTGCCCGGCTATCAAAAGATAGAGCACCCGGGGTCTTAACGGCTTGAAGGTAAACTAGTGGCCATCTAGCTCAAAAGCAACAAAGCCCACATGGAAGAAGCACACCAGCCTGTGTGATCACAAGGTGTCAATGGGATCAGGTATCTCGCATCAAAGAACAAAAAATCATATCAATGTGAATGAAGGGGAGTGCAGAGTGGGGACCCAAAGCCCATCTTAGGCAACAGGACATCCCCTTAAAGAAGGGTCGGAGGGAGGAGAAGAGCTAGTCAGGGTGCTGTATAGCAACGATGAAATATACAACTTTCCTCTAGTTCCTAATTGCTTCGCACTCCCCCTCATTCACAATGATATGATTTTTTGTTCTTTGATGTGTGATCCCTCATCCCTTTGACACCTCATGATCACACAGGTTGGTGTGCTTCTTCCATGTAGGCTTTGTTGCTTCTGAGCTAGATGGCCACTGGAAGAAGCGCACCAGCCTGCGTGATCACGAGGTGCCGAAGGGATGTTATCAGGCATCAAAGAACAAAAAAATAATATCATTGTGTGCTCCAATACGACTGCTGAAGACAAATGGGTGCATAAGTAAATGTTGTGAAGAAAGCTGATGGTGCCCGGATATCAAAAGATACAGCGTTTGGGGGCCTTAAAAGGCTTGAAAGAAACTGATTCTCAACATAAATTTGCTAAAGTTATTATGGTTAAGTAAATTTCTGTCTCCTATGGATAGTTCAGATCTATCATGATGCTTGATATAAGTTATATGCCAGTAAATAAAATATCTGGATGCCCTTAATAATGGAGCAAGGAGATGGCTATCAGAGGCTTATGGGGGCAAACTTTTCCTGAATTCAGGATACCACAGTGAGGGAAGAGGTCAGTGGGAAACAATGCTGTTTTCTCCATATGGAAATATAAGCAACGTGATGTCAAATAGATGGAACAAAGAAGAACGTAGCGTGCGGCGGTTCTTTGAATTAAGTGACTTCTTAAAATAGAGTCAAAGCTAAATTTAAAAAGACATCAAGAATAGTCAATATATTTCGCTCTTTCAAATCGATACTGTTACTCTTAAGCAAACACTAATCTTCATGAGAAATTAACCACACCAGTCACCTGGAAGTGAATTCTCCTGAGAGTGTCTGAGCCAATGAGAGACAAAGAAAACAAAGGGGCCCAGGGAAGGAGGGGAGAAGAGTACAGATGTGGAAGAAACCTAGGAAAGGGGTAGAAGGGAAAATCAACTCCTCAGCTCTCATGCTTGTTTAAAAGAGAGAGAGGAAACTATTGTTTATTAAGTGAAAAGTATTGAGATACACTGTTACTATGTATTAAGGGCAAATACAGATTTCTATATGCCATACTTAAAAGTTAACTTACTTGCTTTTCCCTTTGTAGACTGTCGCATAAGATCCTTCACCTAGTTTTTCCAGTTTTTCATATGAGTCGGCTTTTCCAAATTTGGGACTTGTTGGCTAGAATGGGAACAGAAGATAAACACAGGAGAGTTTATCAAGCTGATTAACAGTGAATAAACCTGATTTTGCTGAGCATGCACAGAACCTCTGTCACTTTTTCAATCATTCTTTTCTTTCAGATTATAAGAATACTTATATTTTAAATAACAACACAGTGAATGGCATTGTTACAAAAGTCAGAAAACACACACAACGTCCAATTCTTCTAGGTCCTTCCTTCATACATCATATAAACAGGAACAGGGCATTGGGACTGGAGGAAGTTCTCACTGACAGCCTACGATACTGTCCTCATTGTGTGCTGAAAGAAAACAGGGCTTGATCAAACACTGATCAATACCGGTCTGATTTCACCTCAACACTAAGGGGAACAATCCTCGCAGGTGAGCCATCATGAGGATAAACGAAGACATGCCCGCAGTTGTCAGGGTCTTATTTGACTGGTTTCCACAATCAAACCCCCGTGGAAGCAGCAGTCAAAAGACAAGGGACAAATTCCATTCGACAAATCTGCTGCACGTGACCTCTTCAAAGAACTAAATAGTAAAGGTGTCACTTTGATGACTGAGGTGAGCCTGATCCAAACCATGATAGTTTCACCCGCCTTATAGGCATAGGAAATTGGCAGTGAGTCGTAAAGACCAAAGACTTGATGGATTTTAATGATGGTATTGGTGAATACTGAATAGTATGCCAGAGAACTGTCATCAAGTCAATACCAACCGATAAAGACCCTCTAGGACAGTGGTTCTCAGCCTTCCTAATGCCGCGACCCTTTCATCCAGGTCCTCATGTTGTGGTGCCCCTCCCCCAACCATAAAATTATTTTCGTAGTTACTTCATAACTGTAATTTTGCTACTGTTATGAATCAGGCGACCCCTTTGAAAGGGTCGTTTGACCCCCAAACGGGTGGCGACCCACAGGTTGAGGACCGCTGCTTTAAGCCCTCAAACACCTTTTCCTGAGAGCCGGGCACCATCTGATTTCTTCCCCACACTTTGCCATGGCCCTCAGATCTCCAGTGGTCTCTTCATGAGGGCAAGTACTGGGCAGGGCCCTATCATAAGAACTCATTTTTCATACATTAGGGTTCCAATCAAGTGAGAGCTCAGGATCCATTCTTATAACTACACCCATACGGCAAATTCTTCTGAAGTGGACAGCCTATTCCTTCTGTGTCTGGTCTGAGGCTGGAAGCTCTGCTGAAACCTGTTCAGCTTGGGTGACCCTGCTGGTATTTGAAATAGTGGTGACCTCGCTTCCAGCATAACAACCACACACAAGACACCACAGTAACACAAACTGATAGACCAGTGGTAGTATGAGGTGTGCCCGCCCCCCAATTTCCAGAAACAATTGAGTGTCCTAGAGTGGAAGAGACTGGTCTTAGTTCATTCAGCTAGGCAGAGGTGACAAGACCAGGTTGTGTGCACTCAGAGTCCCAAGATCTGCAAGCCCAGGCAGGGACGCACTGGACATAAGGAATCTAGAACCTAAACACCCTGTCCCCTCTCCAGAGGTGATTCTTATATATGTAATTTAGTACATAAACCCAGATGGTGCTTGGGCATCCCCAGGTGATTCGTATATATACAAATCACCTGGGAATCTTATTAAAATGTAGATACTGATTCACCCTGTCTACAGTGAAAAAATAAACCCTCAGTAGAGAAATCAAACAGAATGAAACAGTTAGAAGCCCAGATACAGCCAGTGTGCTCTTTAGAACTTAAGAAGACAAGACATCTCAAGTACTTTAGACAGATTACCAGGAGGGGCTAGTCCCAGGATAAGAACATGATAGGTAAAGTAGACGTTAGTGAAAAAATGGAAGACTCTCAATTACATGGATTAACACAGTGGCTATAACAATGGGTTCAACTATAGCAATGATTGTAAGGATGGTAGAAGACTGGATGGTAATTCCTGTTGCTATACTTAAGAAGTGACTGTTCTACGACTAAGGAATATGACTATGATTTGGAAGTGACTCTTTGGCACCTAACAACAACAAATCCTGTGTAACTTTTACATCAAACTACATCGCTACACAAGTCTGAATGTTAGAGGCTATATTAATATTACAAAGACTGCAGGAAATGGGTACACAAGAAACCTTTGCACCATGCTCAATCCACCCCTCAGAGCAAGTTATCTTAAAGGTTCAATGGTTAAAGGCCAACTTCTCTACATAGTAACTTTCATATCGTTGCTTCTTTAATGGAGAACAGCTCATTCTACATAAAGAAAAAAAAAAAAGAAATAATCCTGTGAGGTACTAAATACTTCACAGAATTTAAAATTGAATGGATGCTTCCAAAGTATCAGAGGGTCGCTTGAATGGGTACTCTGCTTTACAGAGTGACTATGAGTCAGAATCAACTTAATAGAAATGGGTAACTTGAAGTTCTTCATATTAAAGATGTTTAATTACACAACTTCTAGAATTCATTCTAAAGCTAATGAAAAAAGAAAGTTGCAAGTTCATTTCTGAGGGTACTAAGTATTAATCCATTGAATCTGCACATAGTGATTACACATCTACTCGGCGAGAGGAACCATGGCAAAAGCAGAAACAACATGATAAATGCTAATCAATGTGGTAGGAATGATTCCCGAGTTGAACATACAATCTGCTGCAGAACTGCATAACATTTTATTAGCCCATTTCTTGGCCAAGGTATCCAACACAGTATGTGAACACCAGGATCATATATTGCTAATCTTTTAACAAAATATAGTCATAGGCTTAGTTGTAATTTAATGCATTTTTCCTCAAAGCAAAAGCCATCTATTTAATCTGCTGTCATGTACTACTCAGTGTGGAAAATATATACATACAATGACACAAACTTTGCAATTACCCATGTTTTAAGAAAACAGTCTAGCCAAATAACAAGTGTGTGTTTGTGTGTGTGTACTCAACTTATTTAAAAAGTAAAGTACAATGACAAAGCTACTTCAAAATTTAACACAGAAGGGATGGAAGGGGCAAAGGGAGGGTGAGAGAAGAGTTAGGGGGAGTACAGAAGGGGTTATGAGATGTTCCTCTGCAAGTTTAACTAGTTTCCATATGAGTTAACTCAGATTTCAATGCTAAGTTCTTTGTAGTCATTAAGCTTGACATTCATTTAGGACCACCTTCTCCTTCTTTTCTTTACGAAATGTGCACGGACAATACAACCCAAGTGTTGAGTTGTATCAAGTAAAATTTCAGGTGTGGGTTATGTTCGCATGCATTTTTCATCCCTGGGAAACAGCTTGTGAAAGTGGCACTTTACCATTACCCTCCTGAGCCCAGGTTTTAAATAGTGATTTTAAACCCGATGTTACACTGCAGCATCAAATGATCTTCATTGGGGAAAATAATTGTGTTCACAGTTCCACTCTAAATTGTTTAAAATCGGAATGGGGGCTCTATGTGTTTTGTGCTGTGCTCCTTTAAGAATGAATCCAATCTAAGTTAAGCAGAAAAGAAGCAGCAGAAAATTACCTCTTAACTCCTATCAGGGGACAAACTGCTAATGCATATTTAGAGCAAGTACAAGACACAGTCACCACAACATTGCTAAGACCAGGAAGTCAGTATTTCCTCCTCTTGGAAAGGCACAAATAATTTTCTACAAAAACTTTTCTCTCTTCACAGCTGTCTTTGGTAACAGTCGATGGGAAAAAAGCAGAAAACAAAAAAAGAGTCAATGTTACTTTTTTCAGACACATTCCATACTTTGAACATACTATGTAAAGAAATTAAATTAAGAAAACTAGGGGAAAATATTCTTTGTATAAAAATGCACTCCAAGAAAATTTATGTCAAAGAAAATGCTAATGGTTCAAAGTAGTCTATTTATCTAATTAGATAGCTTCTGATGTAGTAGCTGCTGTGGTTAAAGCATATTTTACTAACACTAAGATGGCAGAAAATTAATATTTTGCCACATGTTGGGATAAATGCAATCAATGTTATTTGCCCAATGAAGCTGATATGCAGACATTATGGAAAGACACTGTAATTTGCAGATCAATCATTCTGGCTCCATAGAAAGCATCGAAGGCATACAACTCGGTATCATGTCTGGGGTAGAGGGTCGAAGTTTTCTGTCTATGAAAAGATATGCCTATGATACAAGTTGCATCTGTGAGAAAATCTTAATATTGACAGCTAGAGTCTTATAAAGTCATCTGCAATTTTAACTACCCTGAAATGTTCTACTCTGTAATTACTGTGCATACACATACCAGGTCTTAATGAAGCCAATAATAAATCCTCCCTATCAAATGAATGAGCTAAGAAATTTCAGAATCAGAGGTCTTATTATCTTTGCTAATTAAGATTCAGGCCTTTGGTTTGCATTTTTTAACTTCATTAAATCATCAAATTTAAATAAAGTCACTGTATCAAACTAAGATGTTGTCAGCCCTAAACATTGTCTTTGGCTCTCTGATGTCAAGGTGCATGAATGGATGAAAGCAGCTTTGTGGGACCACTATATTCTATGTTGCCGCTCCCCTAGTTAGAATGCAGGCTTCAGATAGCACTTGGAATTGGAAATATAAGAGCTACTCAGTAATTATTAACAGACACCAACTGCATAGAGCATAGAGATATGAAATTTAATGAGATGTTAATACATTAAAAAAAAACAGAATAAAGGAACCAAGAACCTTCAATTGTCTGGACCAGTGGAGGGGAACATTATCAGGGATAATGAAATAGTGCAGATTACCTTCCAGCTGAGCAGTGTTTGTCACTCTGACCTAAACGGGTGTGCACCTGGCACTCAATGGCTTTAATGTATTGTTTGCGTCACAGTAAAAACAGCTAGCTAATATGGGGTGTTTAGTATATATGTCAGGCTTTGAGCTTAGCAGTTTATACCGATTGCCTAACTCAAGCCCTGAGCACCCGTATGAGGTTGGTTGTATAAATATCTTCAATTGAAGATAAAGAATATAAAGACTGAAGCAATAAGCCAATTCTCCTAAGATCTTAGAG